GGCAAGAATGCCCGTCCTGGCGATGTGGCTCTGTGTGCACGGGGGTGGGAGGCGTGGTGCTGGGATATCCTGCTGACAGTATGACGTCAAGCACAGGAAACACCACCTTTAGAGTGTCTCATTTTCAAACCATAAAAGACTAAAATTACATATGTGTATGCAGAATGGTGTTTCTTAAAAAGAAGAGGCGGTAGGAAGAGAGAAAGAATCTATCCTGATGTCTGCCTCACTGCTGGTCTGTGGAATGTCTCCAGCAGTTAGGGAGCGAGCTGAATATCCACGCATGGTAAAGACTGTGCCCAGAGACGCAGCGGGAAACACAGCTGCAGGGCGGCCGTGACCTGGGACGGGTATCTTCTAGCTGCCTCTTGAGACACCACAGGGGCTGTTCCCTTGGGTTGAGTCCATGTTCTACCACAAATAGGTAGAGTGATTTGGGAACTGAACGTTTACTTCCCCTGGGTGACACTCCTCTTTCTCATTCATGAAATCAGACTGGAGGTAACACAGAGATGAAGTCATCTGCACAATGTTTCAGATGAGCATGGTTGTGAACAACTGGAAGCCCTTGATATGTCAGGAAAGGCAAACAGATTTCAGCGTGAACATGAAATCTCACCTAGAGCCGGACCGAAAAGCACTGGGAGGCAGCACCTGGTCTTAGTGGGCAATAGTGCTTCACTGCATTAGTGAGATCCTCTCAGAGTTGCTGGAGAATCATACTCCACAGTCCATAAAAAATTAGCATTCGAAAGATCAGTCTGATTTATAGTGGCAGGTTTGCCTTTCTAATGATGTTTTGCTTAAGCCAATATCAGAATTATGATTTGTGTTTCTAAAACCACACACCAGCTAGGGAGAAGTATTGGGAAACTGTAAAATCATGTTAGGGAAACAAAGCTGAGATTTTAAATGTGCAATTGATAATCCATTAGGTGGATTATCAATTTATTGATAATAAATAATTTATTGATAATATTTATATACTATATATAAATATATAATAAATAATTTATTGATAATAAATAATTTATTGATAAAGGTCAGTTTTCTTGAGGGCAGGGACCGTATTTTAATTACCATAGAATTCTCTTCATATCACTGTCCAGAGAAGTTCCCTGTACTTAGTAGATGCTCGATTAAACTTCACTACATTAAATAATGGAGAGTTTGGGGAGTAATTTCCTCCTAAGGAGTCAGATTATCAAGCATAGAATTCTGCCCTTTTTTAAAAGCAGAGGTGAAGTGGGGAATAAGGGAATGGAAATATGTCTATCACTTCTTACGTGCTAAGATTAAGAATTATCTTACTTAATCCTCACTCTAATCCTTTGGGTTTGGTGTTAACGGTCATTCTCAGTCTCTGGGTTAAGGCTCAGAGAGGTTAAGTAACTTGTCCAGTGAACCACAATTGATCAGTGGTGAGGAGAGGATTCAAACTCATGTCACTTTTGACTCCAAGGTTAAGCAGGGGACTTCTTCCCTAGTCTTGTGAAGAAAGAATACCAATGATTTTGACCCTAACTGAACATGATGCTTTGTGAACCCACTGAGATTCACTTCAAGCACTCTGGAGTGTCTGATTACCGCTACTAATAATACCTCCTAGACAGTGCTTCACAATTAACAAATGATTAACAAAGACAGCTTGCAGCTTCCCAAACTGCAAAGGGCAATAACAGCAGCATGGGGTGGAGGGAATAGCACCGGACTGAGAGCTTGGTCTTACCACGGCTCTGGCAGGGATTATCTGTTTGGCCCCGGGCTAGTCACTTTCCCTCTCTGGGCTTTACCTTCTTCTTCGTCTGTAAAATGACTGATAGGGACCAAAAAATCTTTCCAGAGCTGTCAGGCTATAGGGAAAGCTAACCCAACAGTCAAAGACAACCAGCCAGAGGCTGGCAAAGGGGGCTGCAAGCAAAAGCCTACAGAACAGCATTTTCAAAAACCAGAGATCTATTTCCACCAGCATAGGGCAGAAAGCCTCAGACCCATAACAACAAGTCCCTTCAGTCCTAAATCAAAGAGGGGTCAGAGCGCCATTCTCTTTATGTGAAGCAGGCCAGGCCACGGGCTGCATCTCTTTGTGTCCACCCCCTACGGGCTTCACGCTCATTGGCTGCCCCATTCCCCATCCACCATGCACCATCACTCCTCCCCAGGACCAGAGTCCTAAACCTATCTGTAGCTGAGTCTACATCAGGTGCTTGATGCCTAACTAAAAACTTCCCCAGTGTGGTGGTAGTACACGGGGCTTGACTCACACTTGATTTTTTTGCCACCCCAAGACTTCTCACTATCAGTTTACAGAAGCATCAGCTGCGGGGCGCCTGGGTGGCTCAGTTGGTTAAGCGACCGCCTTCAGCTCAGGTCATGATCCTGGAGTCCCAGGATCGAGTCCGCCCCGCTCTCATGCTCTCTCACTCTCTCTCAAATAAATAAATAAAAAATCTTAAAAAAAAAAAAAAAAAGGGCAGCAGCAGCAGCTGCTGGGGCACCCTGAGAAAGAGCGAACAGAAAGGGAGTCTGCAAACCCACTGCTTTGACTAAGGGACTCCCTGTCACTGGAGCTGCTGACAGCTGGTACCAGAGGCTATAGGCTTACACCCCTTACAAAGCCCAGTTCCAGCCAGAATTTGACATTTCTGGAGGATTTTTCTATCAGCCACGCAGATGCCTGTAAAACACCTCCATTCAAACACACAACTCCAGGGAAGACTCAGTAGCCTGCAGTCCCAAGGGCCAAGTGCATTTAAAAGAGGGGGAGGACAAAGCTCTCTTCCTAACCCAGCTCAACAGAGGACACAGAATTGCAGACCACACATGACAACTGATCAGTGGAGGAATCGAAGGAATTCAGCAACCCAGTAGTTACAGTCCCCACATCCTGACGTAGGAAGAGGGACCCAGGGTCATCTTTGCTCCACCACTTTCTTTCCAAGTCTCCCTGTCTTATCTCCTGAGAGGATAAAGGAATTCCCACCATGCTTTAAGAATCAGCTAGTATTGTCTCTGTGTTGTCCTCACTCCATATTTTTTAAAATGGGTGTAACAGTCCTGCCTCACCAACTCTCAGCATGGTTGTAAGGAAACGTAGGACATCATTCATGAAAGGGCTTTATAAACTGTATTTGGGTAAAGGATCAGTGTTACTAAAAGGCTCTGAGGGAGGATTAGGGTAAATTTTGCTCCTCATGGATAAAAATACTCAAGACACCCTACTTGCTAAGAATGGAGAGCAGCCCCCCCACCCCATATCCCGGTGCATAGAGGACTACAGGCAGCTTGTAGGGAGGTGCATGACTAGTAAAGAGTCCCATTCTCAGGCTCTCCAGCACCTGTCACCATCACAGCTCAGCGTCCTACCTCATACCAAGTAGCCGCCCTGTTCTCCATGGCCAGGTGCCAGGATGGCCAGTCTGATACTGTTTTCTCAGAAAAAAGTGGTAGAGTTAGTGCATGAGGACCTGAAGACCAGAATGTGACTCTCAATCCTGACACCTATGGGTTGTATGAGCTTGAGCAAGTCACCTGACCTGTCTCAAAGTCAACTTCCTCACACATCAAGGGGGCATAATTATATCCCACCCTGAGCCCCTACCAACTGCACAAGTGTGTTTGAAATCAGAAAAATGCCCTTTGCAATCTGTTCATTGCTGCCATTTGTGAATCATTAGTTTGTTAAGCACTGTCTCATGAGCTATTATTAGTAGCCATAAATAGATGCTCTGAAGGGCTTAGAGTGAATTTCAGCATGTTTGATTAGGGTCAAAATATGGGAAATGGTGCCAATAGATCCATTACTCATGGTCCTGTGTCCCAGGAAATAGGAACATGGCTTATGCTCCTTTCAGATAACTCCTGGGATGGGGATTATGCAGTTAATACACCAACTCACATTCCAGAAGCCTTTCAAGGTCTTCAAAGCCCGAGGTTACACAGGTAACAGATGGCAGGGCCTGGGCTCAAGCCCACTTCTTTGGCATCCTGCTCTCACTCTCTTTCTACCAACCCTGTGGGTGAGTGGAAAGTGGAGGGAATGTTGACATGGAACATGTGGGCTCCTCTCAGCAAGCACATGTCGAAGCTGCCACTCCTTCTTGTGAGACACAGATGAAAGAGTGGCTCAGTCAGAGCCAATTTCAATTGCTGTTGAAACCAATTCAAACATTTCTCAAAGTATGCAGAAATGTGAGCTACTTCCCGATTTATTTTCTTTTAAAAATCTTAGGAATTAAAAAAATTTTTCAGCGGCACCTGGGTGGCTCAGTGGGTTAAAGCCTCTGCCTTTGGCTCAGGTCATGATCTCAGGGTCCTGGGATCGAGCCCCATATTGGGCTTTTTTGCTCAGCGGGGAGCCTGCTTCCCCCCCCCCCCGCCTGCCTCTCTGCCTACTTGTGATCTCTGTCTGTAAATAAATAAAATCTTAAAAAATATTTTCAATTTACCTCATGATTCAGTTTTTTAAAAGGTAGATATAAATACACACACATTCAAATATATGTATGTAGATGTATGTATGTGTTTGTATAGACTTCATTTTTAATTCAGTATTTAATAAATTACAGGGGTTTCGTTTAAGACTATTTCTGGCAGGGGGCACCTGGGTGGCTCAGTGGGTTAAGCCTCTGCCTTCAGCTCGGGTCACGATCCCAGGGTCCTGGGATCAAGCCCCACATCGGGCTCTCTGCTCAGCAGGGAGCCTGCTTCCCCCTCTCTCTCTGCCTGCCTCTCTGCCTACTTGTGATCTCTGTCTGTCAAATAAATAAATAAAATCTTTAAAAAAAAAAAAAAGACCATTTCTGGCAGGAGTCCTAAGGGATTAATTAAGAGACACTAAGAAGGAAAGAAGTCCCATCCAGGGAGTAACCTAAAACCTAAAACCTGTAAGTTCAAGCTCCAAGTCAGAATTTCCACTTGTGGCTGAGAAGAGAATGTGTCCCATCTTCTGACAGACTGTCCCTCCTTCCCCCATGCCAGGGGATCTCCCAGGCCCTTACCTGACTCTCTCCTCTTCAACTCTCTTCAGGGCAGCATCCCGCTGCAGCACCTTCATGATGGCTTCTTGCTCCTCCTCTGTCAGGAAGCTCAAGTCAATCATTTTGAAAATCATACACAAAATGAAGAGCAATGAATCTGGCTTACAGTTCTCAAAGCAAAACAACTATGCCTGTTGCTCAATGATTAGAAGATGCAAAAAAAAAAAATTAAATGAAGTAATGTCTTGTTCAGTTCTGCAGCAAAAGTCTTATGTTGGCTCTGCCAAAGTTTTAGGTGCCTAATTGCAAAGTCCTCCGCACCCTTTCCAGTGAGGAAGCGGTGGTCTGTGGGACGACGTGGAGAGGAGGCTCTCAGAAGGACGTTGCATTCCTTACCAGCCAGGTCACTTGTTCCCACAGTGGCATTCCTACTCACACTCCCACTCTGGACCAGTCTTAGACTCAGTTTATTATCAGACTCAGTTCATTCGTCTTGCGTGCAGGTCATCAACTCGAGGAGAGGCAGCAACATCTGAGCATCTCGTGACACCTGGGGAATCAGGAGACAGTGAACGTGTGAGGCAGTGTGAGGCAGTTCTGTAAGCATTGCTCGTTTTTACAAGATTTAAAAGGTGCCTGGGGAAAGAGGATGACCAGTGAGATGGTCTCCGAGATCAAGGAAACCGATTTGGTCAGCTTCTTGAGCAAACGGGTCATGAAACACGCTTCTACTCAATTCCAGAACGCCAAGATGGAGAGCACACAAAATGCCTGTTGATGTTTGACAACTCACTGAGGAAAGCAATGGCTGTAAAAAGGAGCTGGTTCTCGCTCTCCAAAATCATGGGATGTTAGGCTAAAAAGTCACACTCAATGTCAGTAAGACCAGGAAGACGTGATTCCAGCTGTCAAGTGATCATGGGTAAGAAACTAGAAATAAAAATTTGCGGGGCGCCTGGGTGGCTCAGTGGGTTAAAGCCTCTGCCTTCAGCTCAGGTCATGATCTCAGGGTCCTGGGATCGAGTCCAGCGTCAGGCTCTCTGCTCAGCAGGGAGCCTGCTTCCTCCTCTCTCTGCCTTCCTCTCTGCCTACTTCTAATCTGTCTCTGTCAAAGAAATAAATAAAATCTTTAAAAAAAAAAATTCGCAAGCACTCACATCTCCGTGAGTAGGAATGTTGCACGGGAACGTATCTGGGCTCTGTAATGACAGGTCATGAGCTAGTATCACGTAAAGGTAGTGTGCACAAAGGGCAGACTGTTATTCTTCACCTGGTCCCAACTCTCACCCTTGCTGGATCTAGAGCAACTCCCCAAGATTGCTCCCTTCATTTCTGAGGATGAAGAACACTTACTGGTACAAGTAGACAAACTGGGGGAAAGGAAGAGGCAACCTCCCCCAACCAAAGTGAGGATTTTAAGTAGGACTTTGGGCAAGAATCTTATTTCCTTTGAGGCCACTCAAACCCATGTACAATGAGAAGGTGACATGCAGAATTTCACAGCTGTTTGGGGCTTCAGAGGTCCCCTACTCCAGGATGGGGGCCCTTTAACAAACACAGTGCTTCACAGACAACAGACACTAAGAATCAAGTATTCAGTAAGTTTTAGGCAGTCTCATTTGAGAATAAAACAGTACGTGTACCACTGAGTCCTTTTTATGAATAAGTTCCTCACTTTGGCCAAATAGAACCCCTGGGAAGTATCCCCTTGGTCACGTTAGCAAGTGACCCCCACTCTGAGGCTCAGCTTTCTCATTCCCACTTGCCTGCCAGTAGGAGGTCCCTCACAGATTGTAAAGATGAAGTGAAATAATGAAAATCTAACAGCACGTATCGTGCATCCTCTACCAAAAATAGCAACTAAAAATATATTCTAGCTTCCTTTCTGAGTTCACACTTTTGTTCTATCCCCCCAAATAAGAGTGTACTTGGTCATGGCATTCCCTTTTCTCTTTTGTGTTCTATTTCTCTCCGATCTCCCCCATGAAGTATAGAGTTCAAAAACAGGTATTCTGATGACCTTTGTTTTATATTCCTGAGGCTCTCTGAACGTAGCTCACACTGACTACTCAAATATTAAGAATGTACTAAAATGTACATGCATTTCTATAAGTCGGTGCCTGTTTGCTCATCTTGAAAAATACTCACCCTTCAAAGATGAAAGTTACCATCTCCAGGAAGCCTTCCTTAACTACCTCGGCTAGAATTAAAAGTAGATTCACTTATTCCTCCTAACTCTTCACTCCCTCCCTGAAATAGCCATACAACCATGATGCCACGAGAGTAGGCAGATTATTCATCCCTATCTTCCTATTGTTGAGCCTGACCTGTGACTTTGGTCAATGGAATGCTACAAATGTGATACAAGCATAGGCTCATGTGGGTTGGCTTGGCTGCTTATACTCCTGCCACTGGCCCCAAGAAGAGCCTGCCCCAGGTAGCTCCTGCCTTTCCAGTCTGAGTCCCAGCAAAGGAGATGTAAGGTCAGACCAGAACCTGAGCCGCCCGGAGTATGTGAGGCCACCCCAGCGGACCTGGAGATTATGGGAAGAAATAAATAATTGTTGTTGGAAGCCACTGAAGTTTGGGATTGTTCTATAATCCTTATGTTGTGGGAGCCTGACTAACACAAACACTTTCTTCTCCATATACCCACCTCCACCGCTGTAATTATTTATCTTCCTTCAGTCACTCCCATTTGACTGGGAGTCTCTGAATGTGAAGAAGTAGGTAAGTCAATGAATGAACCTCATCCAAGTACACAAGTTCACCAGCGGATGGCTGTCGATTCTTTCCTGCAGAATAGCTTCTTTGATGCATAGTAACTTCCTTAGACCTCAGAGGCTAACAAGGACCTGAATTTAGGCCACTTTTGGAGAACCATGGATGATGACATATGGTTCAGTGAGAGACTGTTTTTAAAGTCAACGAGTGCAGGACAGGAAGAGATAAAAGGAGAGAAACAACTCAGGTTGTCCAGCGGTGGTAACTAGGAGCATTGCTGAAGGAGGAAATGCTGGTTTCTACACCTTCATGTACAACCGCAAGCTAACCAGTGCTTCTGCATAAGAGCTTCCAAGAGTTAAAGGTTTTTCCCCCAAATCAGTGAGACAAAGGGCAATGTCTTCATTTTACAGAGAAAGGAGGGAAGGGCTGAAACCTCTGACTCCTAATTGTGAGAGAGAGCAGCAGAGCCCTTGGATGGCAGTCAAGACTCTTCAATACCAGCTGCTTTCCCAGTTCCCAATACTCTGGATGTTCTCTGTCATGGAAGCTAATCACGCATTTCATTCCGCAAACATTTACTGAGAGCTTAGTATGTGCCTGGCACTTTTGGAAGCACTGGAGACACAGCAATACATAAGACAGAGAAAAAGTCCTGTCTTTGTGGAGCCTACATGACCCTCAGAGGAGACATCAAGTTAAATAATAATTTTAAAACGCCTAAATAATTAAATTATATAACTTGCCAGAAGGTGATATAACAGAGCATAGAAGGGAAGGAGTGAGGGAGTTGGGAGTTTTAAAGAGAGTGGTTAGGGTTGGTCTTGTTGAGAAGATGACACTGAAACAAAAACTTGACAGAGGTGAGGAAACAAGCCACACTGCTATCGGGGGTCCAGAGGTCGAAGCAGGTCTGGCGTGTTTGAAGAGTATCACAGAAGTCAGGGCTGGGACAGCAGAGTGTGCCAGGAAGAGGATAGGAGAGAGCAGGTCAGAAAGAAGTAGATCATCCTATATTAGGCCTTACATTAGTGCTGTACGATTTCCAGCTTTTACTCTGAGATGGAGCAGCATTAAGGAAAGACAGGAAAAAAGAGAAGGAAGTAAATATTTACTGGGTATGTCCTACATGCCTGGCACTTAACATCATTTCATGGGATCCTCTGAGAGATGTAAGGCAAGCATTTTATGATCTGTGTTTTTCAAATGAGGAGAGTAGGGCTCAGCGAAGTGTCAGCCACTACCCTTGTGTGGTAGGGCTGGTATTTGCCAGTAGCTTTTTTTTTTTTTTAAGATTTTATTTATTTATTTATTTGACAGACAGAGAGATCACAAGTAGGCAGAGAGACAGATGGGGTGCGGGGGGGAGCAGGTTCCCTGCTGAGCAGAGAGCCCAACGTGGGACTCGATCCCAGAACACTGGGATCATGACCTGAGCCGAAGGCAGAGGCTTAACCCACTGAGACACCCAGGCGCCCTTTTTTTTTTTTTTTTTAAGATTTTATTTATTTGAGAGAATGAGAGTGAGACAGAGAGAGAGAGAGAGAGTGCACACAAGCTGGGAAGGTGCAGAAGGAAAAGCAGACTCCATGCTAAGCAGGGAGTCTGACCTGGGGCTCCATCCCAGGATCCTGACATCATGACCTGAGCCAAAGCAGATGCTTAGCTGACTGAGCCACCCAAGCGCCCCTTGCCAGGAGCTTTGTCAGTTTAATCCACCCCAGTGCTGACCTGTCCTTTAATTCTCCCATCCACAGATTCCTCAAACTGGGAAGCAGAACAAAATTCTTCTGACTATGGACCTTCATTCTCTGCTTACGCATAGAAAAACTAGTGGCCCACAGTTGGCAGTCAGCGATCAGGGCAATTTCTATGGAAAAATTGGGAGGGATAAATTTTGGCCACGAGGATTCCCGATGTGTTCACAGAAGGAGTAGCTTCCAGGGTGAGCAAAAAGTTCTAAGCTTCAGCTTCCCTCCCACCCATTCTCATCACGCTACTGAGTGACTTTCTAAAAGTGAGATCTGACTAAGCCATATTCCCAGGTTTAAAACCCTCCACTACTTCCCATTGCCCATTGGCTAATGCTCAAGCTCCTTACCATGGCCTGTGGGACTCACGTGAACTGGCACCAGCTTTCTTCCCCAAGTGCTTCGCCTGAGGCTGCCCACACACAACTCTTCAGTTCCTTTGGCCCCCAGGCCTTTGTATATGCTATTCCTTCTTCTTGGAATACCTTTCCTGGGTTGACACCTCTTGGACCTCAGGTTTAGATGTAACTTTCTGAACAGAAGTCTTTCCTAACTTCTCAAGGTCAGGTTAGGCATCACTCTGGTGTGTTCATTAGCACCTGACTTCCTGAGTCAGGATATTCATCACACTGTCTCGAATCCGTATC